TACTAGGCTTGGCGAGTCTATTCCTACTCCAGGTGGGGCCCACAGGTCTGGGGGTGGGATTGGGCTTTCTGCACTCCGAATAACTGTTCAGCTCTTTCCTGACACTCTCTAGCTTGCTGTTGCTTGCAGCAGGCAGGGTTGGTGTTCCTGGCTTCCTTTTGCAGACGAGAGTATGCAGGCCTAGAGCCACACTGCTAGTAAATGCCTTCAAGCTGGGACTTAACTCTGCTGTCAAATGCCCTTTCTGTGACACCATGAGAGAAAAGCGGCAGATCTCAGTAGGGGGATTAAAAAATGCAAAAAGTCAGAAGGGGGGGCTTCACGGTATGCACAGGTATACATCACATGCTCCGCCCAGGAGAGAGGGAAGTGGGAGTCCCTGCTTCACAGCTGGCCCCGATGCCATGTGGGCATCTCTGAAGCCTGGGAGCTGGAGAGAGGTGAGAAGCTCAGGGTGCAGAGCTATGTGCCCACTTTGCCACTCCCCCATCTGGGCCCACGGGCTTTTCTCAGAGGCAAATCCTCTTCTTGCCCATACCTTTCCCCAGGCAGAGCCTGCTGCAAAGCTTCTGGTCACTGCTTTGCCCAGGCTGAGGACACCTTTATTCTTCCCTTAATTTCCTGTCTTTCATATAAAGGGACCCCTTAAAGCAGCCCTGAGCACTAAAGGTGTTTTTCCTGCTTACGTGCCCTTGCTTCTTAGCAGCCAGATCCCACACATCCTTGAAGACCATCTCAGAAGCCCTATTCTCAGAAGACCCTAGAGTCCGCCTTTCCCCACAACTCCGTTTTCTCCTCCAGGGACTGTCTCCGTTTTGGATTTAACATACGTATTCAGCCCCCAGGCGATAAACTCGACTTTTTATGTCCCGATCTTGTTTTCCGGCTTGAGAGGGGAGGTTTCTTCCAACCAGAACCGAATTTCCGCCTCTGTATTTCCCACGGCTGGGAACACACAAAAAGTCTCAGTAAATTCTGTAGTCGATACCTGACTCATTTTTTTTTTTTCTCACAAATATCCATTCCAACCCTACACACCTTCCCACCCTCTGCAGCTCTTAGGTGCTCTGACTCCCCTCCTCCGAGGCCTGCTCCTCCCCCCCCCCCACCCCCCC